CATGGTTCATCGGCCGTTACGTGAGAGCGATAAAGAAAGTCATAGAAATCCGTGCGATAGAGAAAGATGGCTATAATGAAGGCATCTAATAGTCACCGCCCATTTCGCCCTTCCACAAATAAGATTCACTTCTTATTTGTCAAGAGCAATTTAATGTAGTTATCATCTAAAATTTAGGTCCTAAATGAACACTATTCGAGGTAATTATGATACATTCAGTATAAATAATTATGCATCTGATAGATACTTTTGCAAAGTTTCAGCACATTTTACCACATAGTTTCTGAGTTATGCTAAAACAAAATTAACTATGTTTAGCATAGGCTTAATGGTCCCGTCTCAGAAAATGTTGTCGTTATGATAAAAACATTGCTGTAGCTAAATAACCCCATTCAAGAAACTGCCCAAATTTTAAGCAAGACTAATTTGTGTAGAAATGTGTTACATATAACAATCCGGAAAGGACTGACCAGCTAGGATTAAAGATATTAATACTCAAACTTTTAAGTTTTTGGTGTGATTATTCACTTTAATTAAATGCGGCAACTTCGCACATTGAAGAAAGGTTAGTTTGCTAGCACGCTGACATTCTACAAAATTTTGAACTAAAACCATTTTTGTTTCAGTTTACATTTTTCGTTTAAAGAGCTAATAAAGTAAATCAAACAATAAGGACGATTCCTGCAAAACTGTTTTAAAAACTTACCAAACAATGGTAAAAAAAGGGTCATACGTGTGAGACCAAACATCAAGAACAACTGGACCCTGCATCACAACCATACACCCTGTCATACAGCAATTTCAATAAACGGGTTTTTCGCCAGTAAAAACATTCCTGTGGCTCCTCTGTACTCACCTGACTTGTGTCTCCAGGGACACCATTTTGAGACACTCGAGAACATTCAAATGACTGTAACCTACCAGCTGAAGTGTCTCAAAGGAATTATTTTGAGGGAGTCAATATTGAATAATAATTCTATTCAAATAAAAACATCAGTCTCATAACTAAATTTACAAACCTCGCATATATAGCAATAGAAACGTGCTGCACACAACATTTAAATTTTTAATTTAAATGTCTCGACAACTACTACAGCTTTTTTATTAATTTGTTCTTTTGTTTTGATTTTGGACCCCGAGGAACAGATTCTGGACCCGGATTTTATGAATTAAAAAAATAAGCTGCTATGGCATGTTTTTTTTTAAATCCTATATTTGTATCATATATAAACGATAATTATTATTATATTATAAACACATTTTCGTTTTATTATATTAATTAACATACAATAATTGTTCTCAGTATATTTTTCTTTTCTTCGCATGCTTCGAACACTCTACTTCCTCAATATCATAATCAATGTTTTCTATTTGCATGAAATCATCAAGTTTCATCGATCGAATCATCCTTGGACTCACGTGGTCAATTATTTGAGTCTAAATTAAATACACGTGTCTTCGTGACACTGTGCACAGAAATTCGAGCATCTCAAACTGTGCTTGCTGTAGTTACACAAAGCATCAACACACCCTCTTTTGCTAGATAAGCACGAAATTTGATAGAGCAATTGGGGAATAGGTGTATCGGTACTTCCTAGAGTATTCCAAAGAAAAAAATAATAAAATAAAATATCTGCTGTAGTTGCTGAATTATTTAAATTATAAACTTGAACGTTGCACACTGTAACTGAGTGGGGGTTATATTTATACATAGGCTTCCTTTGACCATTAGAAACACTTATCAATAATATAAACCTAACCTTTTTTAAGTAATTTTCTTACCCCGCCGCTAGACAAGCTAATGTAACCCCAAATAATGGCGCCCTTTAGTCACAGCGCAGCACATGTACAATTGGGAACTGGTCTCTGCATTGATGTTAAATCTCATATTTAAAGGAATAGTATTTTACGTTACAAGTCCGGTAGGTGACTTATTACATTACGAGTTGTTTTACCGACGAGGCGACATAGGAGCCGAGTCCGGAATAAAAACGAGTACTGTAATAACACCTAACGGCCGTGTATTGTATGATATTTTATTTCATACTGTCTTTCTATTTTTAACGAGCATAAATTTCTATTTTTTCCTCAAAATTATCAAATTTTTGTTTGACATCGCTTGATCTGTCATTTTATAATATTGTTTGTGACATGTCTAATATCACGTTGCTAGGCAACATTTACCGGCTCTGATACTGCCATAGCTCACTTACCGGCCGCAAATGTATCCGGGAAATAGCAATATACCGGACAGTATGAAATAAAAGTTATTAAAAAGCAAAGGTGATGCTCTTTTGTGCTTGTTACTTTTGTCGAGTGGATGTTTGCCGCACAAACAAGTAACCTAGCAAAAAACTGAAACAGTAGTCAATAATGGTAAATGAAATACAGAAAAATAAATAGTATGTTTACTCACATGGTTGTTATAAGTTATAACACTTCTCTGAATTTGTTCCCGTCCAATATTAGCGAATATCAGTCTGATCCTCTTCGTTTTGTTACGGTTGACCCACCCAAACTATCTCCCTCCACATGCACAGTAGGTTGCCAACAATCTTGTTACAAATACATGAATATTACAGTGGTGGCGTACACAAGAATGAAAGTGTATTTTAAAAAACTAATCATAACCGATTATTTATTTGATTAAATAAAAATAATTTCAGATTGAGGAGAACACATATTATTAATAATTATGAGAATTTCCGACCTGTTTCGCAGCAGTTTTCGATAAAATCAGTTTAAAAAATAAAAATCGGAGGATCCAAAATGCATCCAGACTGGTTGCAAGAAAGAGTACCAAAAAATTAAAGTTCTGATTGTACCGAAACCAATAGTCACATAGCGTTAGGTTTTTGCACACATAAAATACATACATATTTTTACTTTTTCAGCCTTACAAGTTAAAAATGGCCGATTTATAAATGTTTTAAAAAATTCTGAATTCTCCGGTTTTTCCGGATTTTCTCAGTTCCTAATTATCTGATTAAGTCGTTTCAAATCTCATTTTGTTCGTATTTTAAATATCTATAATTCTTCTATTGACACCATTATGATTACTTAATTACTTTTTTTATTAACAAATACTGAAAAAAAATGCGATTGTTTTCAATTTTTTGTTTATAAAAAGTTAATAAGTGACATTTACAAGACTAAAACATAACAGAATTAATCTATGGACTATCCTTCAGATGATGACAGTCGGTTTCCTAACAGGATTAATGTTGCAATGAAATACTTTATTGCTTGGCCTATATGCCATAAAAGATAGATGACAAATTTATTTTCTGATTCTAGGTTGAACTAAAAACAGCCATTGATGATCTTAACCAACAAGTTAGTGAAGGAGGTTCGAACTTTAGTGCTGGTCAAAGACAGTTAATATGTCTTGCGAGAGCAATTGTTAGAAATAATAAAATATTAGTTATGGATGAAGCAACAGCAAACGTGGACCCACAGTAAGTAGTTTATTTAAATTTTTTCAGACATTGTTGAAATAGTATATTAATGGGACCTTGAATAAGTTCTGGCAGTTATTTAACTTCTTTCCGTTAATAACAACCCTTGTGGCATTGTTGCCATCATTTTGGGAACGTATAACATCTGCCCAAGTTTGTGAAGAATTTGCACAAGTTAGGGATTTCTCTTCTTGTAAGGAATATTTTCCTTGGGTTTTCCTTGCAATATTAAGTTTGTTAGATATAGACTCCTCAACGTAACTTTCTGCTACAGAGGAGCTCTTCCATCCACCATGCCGCCTGATGGTCAGCACTTTTATTAGCCAATAGAATTGTTGAAGTGTCCCTCATACAATGGCCAGTATATGCTTCTGGATTTGCAATATTCAGGAATGAAGCAACTATTGAGGGTACGTTCGTCAATGTGTTGATTCCAACTGAGAAGTGCATTTCTGATTGATCTATCTTAAAAAAAATCTGTCTTGTGTTAGGCAAATTGGGCGCAGAGAAATATATTTTCTGCATATTTCAACAGCATTCACGCAAAATCCTTCTTCTGTAAGTGTAAAATTTCTTGAAATGCCCGTCTTGGTGTCAGGTATTGAAAGAAGTAGGTAACTGCCAACGTCCTATACGCCACTAATTTTTAAATTTGTCAATTCGCAGCATCGACAGGCACCAGAAACCCCCATTATTAGTGCAACCTAAAATAATTCAAAATTCACTATATACCAAGTAAAAGGTAGAGATATTACCTTAATCATTAAATATTCTTTATCCGAAGCCCCAGTCAAAAATTCTTCAATGTGCTCTTTCCAATACTGAACCTTTTTTTCTCTATATCCTCTCGATTTACTCCTCAAATAAGCAGTAAGCTTGTTATATTTTTTGTAGACTTTTATAATAGCCTTCAACATCGAATACTTCGACCGCATAGATGAAATTGCATATTTATTCTTCAAATTTAAATAAAAAATATGATAGCATGACTTCTTCATTTATTGTCACTACTCTCCGTTTTTCCCTCCATTTGTTAAATTCAGCGAACACTTTTTCGTAATGTTCCCTGGATTTCGCAGGCAATAAATGGAATATTGCTTCTTGGGCTTCCTCAAAAACAGCCACAGGAACACAATTACTTTCTTGCATTTGTACCAAATTAGGATAGAACTGTTTATTGAATAGTTGATAATAAACAACGTACCATAGCATAGCATAGCAGTAGGTATAACAAAACCTACCACGTTTCATTAAGTACTAGTAAGAAATAACAGGTCGTGCGAAGATTTTTTTATTAAATTGCAATAATTCTGACTCCACAAAGATGATTGTGATGTGATTATGGATAAAACATTGTATTGCATTAGTGTTTTAATTGCCTTTTATCCACTTAAGAATATTAAACGCTCGAACTACGTTTTCATGTTTAAACATTCTTTTGTGGATAAAACAGTTATACTTAGATATGTGCTTATACAATAAGTAACTATTCTTATAATTATGAAACAATAAAGTTAATAATAATTACATCTTGAGAATAAAAAAAAATAGTTATGAATGATAAATGTATATTTTATATCATTTATTTAATTTTTTTTGTAGAACTGACTCATTGATTCAAAAAACAATACGGACCAACTTCGAAAAATGTACAGTGATCACTATTGCTCACAGATTAAATACAATAATGGACTCGGACAGAGTTTTAGTCATGGATGCAGGTCAGGCAGTGGAATTTGATCATCCACATCAACTTTTACAGAAGCCTCATGGATTCTTTACAAAGATGGTTCAACAAACAGGCCCTAGAATGGAAGCTACTTTGCGAAAAGTAGCCAAAGATGATTACGAAAAGAAATTTGGCAAAAATGTCACTGAAGAAAATGTAGATAGTAAAAAAGATGCATAAACCGCATATTAAAAATGAGAGCTTTAATAATGACAGTCAATGAGCAAACATTACATCCTTATACAGTACAATGCAATGAAATAGTTAAGTCAGTCTCAGTACCTACTCAAAAATTGCAAATAGTTATTTTATTTATTTCAAACTTTACCTGCCTTTCCAATTAAATGGCAGTCTAGCATCATTTATTATCCATGGCCGATAGTCATAGTGGCTGATATATATAAGATTTTTTTTAAACGATACGTTGATAGATATAGCAACCGTATGATTTATGAAAAATATATGACCGAAATACTAATACCTCATAACCTTCATAAAGAATTTAAAGTTAACCCGTTCTCCAGCAAAAGAAACCACAAAATCTCTTTTGTAGGATTCTTATGGCTTACAAGTTATTAAAATTTCAGGGACAATATATTTTTTGTTTTCTATGTTAGAATAAAAAATAAATTTTCATATTCTGTGGTTAAATCGATAAATTAAAAGACAAGAATGTTAACATCCTTCAAAGTTGCCAATTGAATTAAACCAAATGTATTCAGTGTTTTAATGAAATATGTACATGGTGGGCCAATTTCAATACTTTTTGTTTTTTAAAGAAATTGATTGGCGAAAACCGTATTTTGATTCCTTTCAAATAATTTTTATTTTTGTCGAGGTTTTTTATTTAATTTTATATTCGGAATCCAGTGAAATGTGCAATGTTTCTAGAAGTTCCTCTATATTTTTTAATTTTTAAAGTATACATAAAACTTTCTTTCGGAAACATGTTATTTACTCAAAAAAAAAGAAGAAAATTATAAAGTATAACCACCAGTTTATTTATTTTTTTAATTATTATTTAACTGTTGTATCGCTGATACTTGTTTTATGAAACAATTGAATTGCAGCAAAAAAATTTTTGCTGTCTACACCATTTTTTTTGCATAAGTATCGTATAAAAAAAATTGTATGCAGATTTCAAGAATTAAAAATACAAAGGGGTCTCAAGAAAATAGATTTAGGTTGTAATATCCAAAATTATAAAGAAATATTGCATGTACTTCTGGATTCTATAATGCAAACTATATAAAATACCTCTACAAAAATAACAAATTTGCACTGATAAGATAGTTACTTGCAAGGAGTAAATTACTATGGATGTATTGTGTAGAAGTTCACAAATTTTCCCAGGATGAAGATGTTGACAGATTGTAGAAGTGGTGAAGTGACATCATTATTCTTTTTGTTTGGAAGTCGATTAAGTAAAATAAGTCAGAAATACCATATATTAAAAGTTCACAACAGTCTCTTTTATAACATGTCTGATAGATGCCCCTACTTTAAAAAGTATATGTCCGATAGAGTTTACCCTTAAAAGAAACCCCAAGTGTTGAATTTGACTTACCATGTATTTATATTCGACACTAAAGGCAAAAAAACATAAATAAATTAAATCCTGTGAATGGAAAGTTAGATGCAAAAATAAAGTTTTCATTAACCAACCTGAAATTTAAAGGGAGGAAGCAAATTAGATCAGAAAAGAGAAACATACAATTTTGACAACACCCCCCTGTTATGATTTTTTGACTGTTTAAATTTTCATGTTTTGGAACAAATCACAGTGAAATAATCACATTTTACTGATGATGTGAATAGTCCAAGCATTCTGTCACAGCCTAATGTTAAATTTGCAGAAATTATTACCTGAACAAAAAAAATATAACCGTGTATGAAATTCAATTTTAAATTGAGTTTCTTGTTCTTTAAACTCAATCCAAAATTGCGAACATTGTTTTTCTAAACAAACTAAAAAAATATAGCACCGAATGAAAAATTTTAAATGAGAAAGTTGTAGGTTTTAAAAAGGTCTATCGACTGATTTTTTTGTAAGTATCGATTGCTTTGTTACTTTTCTAGATATATTGAAAAAATCGTTAAAAATCTTCTCTTTTCTCTTCTTCTATAACTCGTTTATGTTTACATTCCCATACTTGCTATTTACTGCAAGCATAGCACGCGGCAAGCCAAAAAAGTACATTTTTGAAAAATTTAAAAATATTTATTATTTTTCGAGATCGATTTTTTGAAAAAAAGGCGCTCTCGCAAATTGGCTAGATAATCTCAGCAGATAGCCCTACAGTAACGATTTTCAGTTTAGTTTCTTCGTAAAATCATGCTGTTAAAAAATGTTGACGATTTTATTAATTTTAAGGATCAAAAAATGACTGAAAAAGTTGCACTTTTTTGGGTATGTTTTTTTCAAATATCTATTTCAATTTTTATTTTATAAAAATGACTTTTAAATAAAGAAACTGCTGACATTTTTTCAAAAATATATATTTCTCTACGACCTTCTGAAGCCGAGATAATTTTTTTATTTAAAAAAAATTTTGAGGACAACATTTTACAGCAATGCGCTTGATGGAGGTTAATGTTGAATATGTTATATTGTCAAAAAAAAAATGGTAGGATATGTTTAATTGATTTTTAGTATTAGTAATTGAGTAATAAACTGAATCAGGCAAGTGCTGAGTGCGTCAAGTGCTGAGTGCGTCAGCTGGACCGGACGGAGAAGTAGGGCGAAGTGGCGCACGCTCGCTCTGAAAACTGATAACGTGCAGTCTAAAAGGCTCACGCTTGCCAAATCTTTGACGTCTTGGCTTCTGGACCACGTACAAAAATTTGTGTACTTAATCTGGGGGAGCTTGACGAGATAAAGACGAATATTATAGTCATTTTCGCAATAGTCCCGTAAATGTTTAGTTTTTATTTAATTCACATTTTCGTCATTTTAATAATTAATAGTTTTGCTTCATTAATCATACTGACATTATACTTGTTGCTGGCTTTTTAACAATTACTTCATTATTTTAATAATTAATTAATTTTGGTGTAAAATAAGTTTAAAGAATTTAATTTATTGACAAAAATATTTAATAATATGTATGTAAGTATAAAATATGTATAAAATTATTACAATTAAAACTAACAAGTATCCTATATTGATAAAATTATTTATTGAATGAAATTCTTTTCTTGGTCGGATTGTCTTTTGATTCATTTTCTTATTCGTCTTTCATATTTTCGTGAAGAATTATGTTGAAAGTATCAAGAGAATAATCGTCAATATTTTCACATTGTGACTCAACAACAGTTTCGTCGAGAAGTTTGTCGAAAGCATCAAGATAGTCTTCGTCTATTTCGATGTTAGGAGGAGTTTCAAGCGCATCGCTGTAAAATGTTAATTGCGTCCTCAAAATTAAAAAAAAAAAAAAATTATCTCGGCTCTGGAAGGTCGTAGAAAAAAATTTTTTTTTTAAATTCGTGAAAAAATGTCAGCAGTTTCTTTCTTTTAAAGTCATTTTCATAAAACAAAAATTGAAATAGTTATTTGAAAACAGCATACCCAAAAAAAGTGCAACTATTTCAGTTATTTTTTTATCCTTAAAATTAATAAAATCTTCGACATTTTTTAATAGCATGATAATATAACTTACAAAGAAAAAATCAATATATCGAAAAATAATTAATATTTTTAAATGTACTTTTTTGGCTTGCCGCTGGCTATACTTGCAGTAAATAGCAAGTATGGGAATGTAAACGTAAATGAGTTATAGAAGAAGAGAAAAGAGAAGATTTTTAACGATTTTTTCGATATATCTCGAAAAGTAACAAAGCAATCGATACTTACAAAAAATCAGTCGATAGATCTTTTTAAAACCTACAATTTTCTCATTTAAAATTTTTCCATCGGTGCTATATGTTTTTAGTTATTTTGAAAATAACGATTTTTTTTAACCATGTTTGCCATTTTGGATCGAGTTTAAAGAAGACGAAACTCAATTTAAAATTTAATTTCCTATACGGTCATATTTTTTTTGTCCGAGTAATAATTTCTGTAAGCATTTCACTATAACTACTATAATACTATACTACTATAATAGATGTTTCAAAATGTGTCCTAAAAGAGCAAGTCACATCAAATATGCCTTTGATAACTATAAATAGTTCATACTATACAGGACTAACCTACATTTAAATTAATTTCTTAATTTTATTATTTTTTTAAATACGGAGGCCTAAATCATTCATAGAATGCTTAATGAAAATTATTATTTTTATATCTACTATTTTCTTTTCTCAAAACCTATTTATCTTGAAAACATCCTGTGTAATTTATTTTTCTTCATAGCTTTAAGAAAGTAACTTTCATAAAATGCAAAGAATAAAATATTTAATAAGTTGCAATGTCACGTAAAGTAAAATACTAATGATAATAGCTACATATATTTTTTTTAAGTTGTGTATCTGTATTGCAACATATTCTACAGAAAATATTTACTTGTAATAAATTTCTAAATGTGTAAAATAGAAAATAAGACCATTGAAGACGATAATTTTTTTATAAACTTGTTGACAATTGATTTTTAACAGAAATTAAATATTTTTGCATATTTAGTAAGTACCAATGTGTAATTTGTTAATAAATTACTTAATATGTTACTTAAGGGGGAACATTCGAGAAGACAGCGGAAAAATAGGTGAATTTTAGTAATTATTATCTCAAAAACTAGGTTTGTTTTATTCGAAAGTATGTATACACGTTGAGGCATACTGACAAATTTCACTCACACAGTATGCCATTCCCAAAATTACATGCAGTTGATTGATCTGAACAAAAATTTCAAAGAAATTCTCAAAATGATGCCCTTCGCAACGTAGGATTTAAAAAAAAACTTTTTTTCACATAATGCCATTTTTCGACCTTAATTTCCGACCTTTCTGAATAGATACAAAAAAGATAATTAAATTAAAAAAAAATCCTACGAACATTTTGGAAACCGTCTTTGAACAGTACGTTTTGAGATAATCACGTTTGAAGTTTGGCACAGAATTGACGCATTTGGGAACTGGGTCGCTCGTCAGCTTCTCGGTAAATCACCCATAACTGTTACAGTTCTTGAAATATCAAGACAACATTTACATATGATATTCTTCATATTCCAAACTTGGAGAATTTTTTTGGAGAAATCGATATTTGTAAAAAATTTATATTAATACATAATATATATTATTTTGAGAAAACTTTTTTTTTACTTTACCGTCAATCTGCAATTCCTGTCTATAGAGTAGGCCCTCTACAGTACTGACAGCATCTTCTGCAGCGATCTGTGACTGCCTTCGTTGAATCCACCCTTCATGGGTCACGTTGTAGGTTTCGACTTTAGTGTTATGCACGCGTTCATTATCTTCAATCTCGCAATGCTGATCAGCATTTCTTCCTACTGTGATGTTTAATGCATTTCGGTAATTTGTCAAAAAAAATTTTTTTTTCTACTCAGATATTCCCCCTTAAATTAAAATCAAACTGATACTTAATCAAGTTTTTGAAATATTGTAATCCAATACTTAATTGTAATAAGTATTATTTATGTTAAGCTTGTTTTTTACATATGTGTTGTATACAAATGTTTGTCAATAAATATTTCAATGTTTGTATGAAAATGTTCTGCTCTCTACCTTTTCAATATTATGCAAATAAAAGTATTATAAATTTTCAAGGAAAGCTCCTGGTCTTAATGATAGGCAAAGATGTGAAACACATATTATTATAAATGTTTTACAATCTAAAGAGAACGGACATATTAGCATCAACCAGTTAAATGTTTACAAATTACATACGAGGGAGATTCAAATATAAACGAGAATGCCCAGATGGACATCTTGAAAGGGCACCGATCGGCTCAGGTTTGAACAGGGAATGTTGGTAGGGATAGGACGAGTGGGGGGATCGCAGTTGACACGGCCCTAAGACCGTTAGCCAAGAAGTGGCAAAGATGAGTGAGAAGGAAGTACACTCATCTGTTACGCAATGGATTATCATAAAATTTTTGACGCGGGAGGGGGTCTGCCCTGCTGAAATTTTGCAGAAATTAGTATGGCAGTTCGCTGAAAACACTCACAACCCTGTGTTTTTTTTGGCACAAAGCCTTCTCCGAAAAACAAGAGACAGTTGAAAATGAATCCCACGATCGGCCTGACAGTCGCAGAAATTGCATGTGTTTCAAAGGAAGGTGATTATGTAGAAATATGAGAAATTTTATCATTAATAAAAAAAATTATTCACGTTTATATTTGAATGACCCTCGTATTATGAAAAAATTTTTCCTGAATAAAATTCAGCTATTTGCTGTCTAATCGATCTACTCCTGGAGACATAATTTTTGTATTATTTGAGAAATGCACTCCTCAATGTCATAATATCTTAAAAAAATATATAACACTCGTTAAATTTTCTGTTTATCACATTAATAATCACTATACTCACTCGACGGCTAAAATTATAGATAGTGATTCATCGCTAGCTCCTGGACTAGTAAGGGGGATGAAGCGTGCCGAGAACGAAAATCCATTGGCGTGTCTGCGTAAAAGGCAACAAGATACAGAAAATAATGAAAAAACATAATAAAACATAACATCTAATATTTTTTACGGTTTGCTATAACCGGCACTTTGATCAATTTTAATTATTACAGCATTTTTAAAATGTCCCAGTTGTGTTTTTTAATTTATAAATCTATTGTAGCCATGGAATTACACCCCTCGTCTATGCTTATGCTATGACGTTTCTCAGGTCGGGCAAATCAAGTCCGTTTACACCCACTAAAAAAGCATTTCCCTATTCCTTACCAAGTGCAAAAG